GACTGGCTGGCTGGCTGGCTGGCTAGAGGGATGGAGGGATGAACGGATGGATGGACAAACAGCTGTTGGCTGGCTGGAGGGATGGAGGGATGGACGGACGGACAAACAGCTGGTTGGCTGGCTGGTTGGCTGGCTAGAGGAATGGAGGGATGGAGGGATGGACAGACAGATGGATGGACAGAGAGTAGAAGAACCCACAGCTTGCAGGCCTTCATTAAATCAGAGTGCATGCAGAGGGTATACAAGTGATGAGAGGAAGATGTGTCTGGAGAGTGGGATGTCTGAATTAGTGATTTAAGAAATGGAGCCTTTTCAGATAATAAGGCCCAGCATGAAGCCCTGGAGTGGGGGGCAGAAGTAAGCAAGGGAAAAGCACAGTGTAGACGAGGGAGGCAAGAACCTGGGAAAAACAGAGGGTCAGCAGTCAGGTGGACACTAACACTTCCATGAGTGGTGACAGGTGGTGGGACCCCTGGGGGACATCTCACCTGGTGCTAAGTCTTTGGAAAATGGCACAAAATGAGGTCTGTGGATGACAAACAGCATCAATGTATTTGTAGAACACAGACTCCAAAGTTCTAGGAGCTTCAGAGAGGAGAAACGATCTGAGAAGCCAATGACCTCACTTCCCAACACTGCAATAAATGGCCAAGAGGGAAAAGGAAAGCCCCAGGAGTGCTCTAGGATACAGCCAGGATTCATTGTGATGGTGGTTCTCATCTCTGGCCACACACTGGTATCACCAAGGGAGCTTGGAGAAGAATAACCATGTCCAGGTCCTGCCCACAGCCTGGTAACTTCAGAATCTCTCAAGCCTGGGGACCTGCGGCACTTAAAAGTTCACCAGAGGGGTGCCTGGGTGTCTCAGTGGGTTAAGCCTCTGCCTTCAGCTCAGATCATGATCTTAGGGTCCCGGGATGGAGCCCCGCATTGGGCTCTCTGTTCAGTGGGGGGGCGTACTTCCCCCCGTCTCTCTGCCTGCCTCTCGGCCTACTTGTGATCTCTGTCAAAAAAACAAAACATTGGGGCGCCTGGGTGGCTCAGTGGGTTAAAGCCTCTGCCTTCGGCTCGGGTCATGATCCCAGGGTCCTGGGATCGAGCCCTGCATCGGGCTCTCTGCTCGGCGGAGAGTCTGCTTCCTCCTATCTCTCACTGCCTGCTTCTCTGCCTACTTGTGATCTCTGTCAAATAAATAAATAAAATCTTTAAAAAAAAAACAAAACAAAACCACATAAAAGTTCACCAGTAACTCTGACATACAAATGGATTTTAAAATCACTGATTTAAGGCCAGGAATTGATGGAAATTTTGGAGAAAGTACTGCAGATCCAGAGGTCTTTTTGATTACGACTGGTACCTGTGTGAATGTACACACAGTACTCCCCAAGGCTCCCTCAGGAACTCAGACCCACAAGAAGGTGAATGGTAGGCCTAGCAGACCCCTCTTCTCCCCAGTCCACTATGCCTTTTTGTCTTAAAGCAGAGTTTCTGATCAAACAACAAGATGGGGTCTTTCAAAGGATCCGTGTGAGTCTAGCTTTTTAATGCTCCTGCACACTTTTCTCCCGTGATGTGGGGGGAGGGGAAAGCAGGTGTCATCACAGGAATATTTATGGAAGGGTCGTGAGGAGTAGCTCCCAGCATGGACACAAAACAAGCCCCGTCCTCCCCCCGCACCTCCATCTGACTGCTGGAAAGCATGCTGGTGGGACCAACGTGGAGGATGGGATGACAGCCACGCCACTTAACCTTGACAGAGCGGGGTGCACCAGGCCCTAGACTCAGACTCACGGTTTATACTCAGCCTCTCATTCAATCCACACACTCCCTGGGAAGTGAGGACATGAATCCCCCTTGAGAGAGGAGCTCACTGGCGCTTCTGAGAGGTTAAGTGACTTGCCCAAGGTCACCAGCTATTAAGTTATGTAAGCACAGCCCCCCTCCAGAGACCAAGTGGAGCCTGCTTCACTACATTTCATGCCATTTACCCACAAGCAGTCTAAATTTCCTTCCAGTTCTCACACTCTGGGACTCTTTAACCCCCACTGGCTTTCTTTCCCTAAAGGGACAGGGTAGACTGCAGATTTCAAAGGCTTTGGAAAGGCAGGGGTTTTACTGAAAAGTTAAGGCAAGCTTCTGGTAGCCAGTCTGAGGTGCAGACAAGGGGAAATGACATCATGAGGTTTCACTGGGTAGCCTCCCTACAGGTGCTCCCCTGAGGGCTTTGGGAGAGACACAATAGCAGGCTTTTCTTCCAGCTCCCAGAGCATCTCTCCGGTGGCTGGCAAGTGGAAATGTAATCTCCCCTTGCCAGGACAGATGGGCGCCTCACTGGATGGTGAAACTTTGGGATCTAGCAATTGCCAGGAAGATTCTGGGTGGTATTTCTTAGCCGTGTGAAAAGTGAACCCAAATCCTTTTCTTCTTGTATTCCATAATTTAAAATCAAGTAAATTTAATCTCTCCCTACCTGGCTCAGCGTTACTGCAAATTAAACACGCAAGTATTAATAATGGAAATAATTTCCCTTTAAAAACATATCCTGAAACTCGATGTGGGGCATTTCCAATATATCCATAAAGCAAACAAGACAGCTTAATTGTTTGTTTCTCCAAGGAAAGAAGCTAAACCCGGAATTAATTTGGTTCAGCCTGTGAAGCAATTCGTTTGCTCTGCCTAATTCTGCCAATTAAAGAACTTTTCCCAGACACAATTAGCATGTAAAGCGGCGACAGAGAGCGAAGAAGGGGCCTCAATGATCCCGGCGGGGTGGAGGCGCTGGGCGAGAACCCTTTCCCCCCCTCTCCCCCGGGGGCTCTAGGTCTCGACCTTGGGACTGAGGAAGCCGGGGGAGCATGGACTGGCTCCAGAACCCGGTTCGCAATGGCCCGGCCGTCACCAGCCGAAATCGGGGCGTTAAATAGCGCAGCTGAGGATCAAACCAGCCCGGGTCGCGAGGGCAACTCCCCCAACCCGGTCCGGATCCCAGAAAGACCTCGCGGGGCCGGCCGGCCCCCACCCGTACCACCGTAACGCGCAGCGGAGCTCGCCGGCCCCCCAAGCTCTGTGCACGCTCCCGGAGCCCGCTCGCGTGCTGCGGGGGCTGCGCGCGCACCCAGGGCCGCGCCCCCCGCCACCCAGAATCTGTGGCTTTTGCTTGGGAAAGGTGGGGATAGCGGCCCCTGCTGGCAGCTCTGGCGAACAGCAGAGAGACTGCTCTCACCGTTCTCGCCACCCTTTCCAGGTGGTTTGTGGAATATATATTATATTCCACATATATATACATGGTCTACATATATATATATATATATATATATATATATGGTAGATCCAGGATGTTGTCGCATATATATATTTACATATATGTATATGTATTATATATATACATATACGTATATATATATGGTAGATCCAGGGTGTTGTCGCATGTGCATTTATTCTTCGTGATTCCTCGCGAGCAGATGTCTGTACGTAACTTGGGTTCCCCCGCAGAAAAGAGAACGTGGGCCCCGGCCCCAATTAGGGAACAGGTATAGTTTCTAATGCATCCACTTTGCAGGCCCTCGGCCTAAGGGCACCCGAGACCCTGGTCCTCCTCCCCATGCTTCTCTCGGCCGGCCGCCCCCACGACTGGTAAAACACGGCTTCGAGAACTGCTCGGCCGCCAAGCGTTACTTTCTATAAAGGCTGTGGCTCTGGCCCGCACGGTCTGCGAAGCCCACGGGGAAGCGGGGAGTGGGGGCGCGGCGGGGGTCCGGGGGGGGGTGGGTGGGACGCGGTGCGGCCGGACGCGGCGGCACCAGGCCGGAACTGCAGGGCGTTTGCGCGACCGCAAGTTCACGCGGCGGAGGACGGCTGTGCCTGCCCTGCTCTGTGCGGCCGTAACAATAGCGCCGTGTAAGAAGTTGCGATGTACTTCTCCCGCGAAGCTGCTGGATCCTCTCTGGGACTGCGTCCTACTGCTGAAGTTTACTTATTTCTGAGGACGGTCCGCACAGGTCCCAAGTCTGACAACAGATTATGGCTGTTGTTAACCCCGTTCTTTGTACTACAGTCTCCGCGCTTGCTTGGAATGCTTTATTAACATGTTCTTTGTGCGTTAACTAGTAACCGTGTTCATCTCCTCGAAGTGTGTTTTTAACCGCACGCACCACGGGCTTTTATCCAGTTCCTCCGGGTGCATCGAGCGTCCATCACTTCTGGGATCTACCTCTTGATACAGTAATCAGAATTAGAAAGGCCCATCGTTCACTTAACCTCCTCCTTTAAAACTTTTCCATTTAAGAAAATCGATGAACAGATCCTTTCTTGTAACTCGCTCCTGCACTACGTCTATTTTTATTTATTTTTCTCATTTGGCAGAGCTCAGTGATGCTGTCCGGGATTTCCACCCCCCGCCTCCCCCCCCCCCCCCCCCCGGTCTAGAGCAGATGCGGGGGTGGGGGCAGCTGGGGCTGCGCTCCAGCCGGAGCCAACCCCACCGGGACCTCCACCCAGAGCGCGGCGTGGGCCGGGAGTCGCGGCGGAAGGAGCCTCGCGGGCCAGTCGGTGCAAGGCTCCACCTGCAGCCACACTGCGTAGGCTCTCCCTCTCTCCGCCACGCTCGCTCACATTCACACACAAACACCACAGCCCTCCTCTGGGTCGGAGGAGACGCCAGCCAAAGGAGGCGGGGTTGCAGGAGGAGAGTCCGCTCTGCGCAATCCAGTCCGGGACTTGGCTCCGCCTGGGAGCCGCGGCCTCTCCGGTGACAGAGGAGTAGCGAGCGGCACCCGGTGAGGCTGCAGCCAACTCCGCTCCTCGCGCACTCGGCTGCCCAGGCGCTCGGGACGCAGCAGCGGCGCTTCTCCGCGGGGCCCACCGCCCGCGATGCCCGCTTAGGAGCGGCGGCAGCTGCCAGCATCGCCACGCCCGCGGCAGCGGCGCTCGCGGTCGCAGAGCGGGGCCACAGCGCGCCCCCTGCCCCAGCCCCCACCCCGCCCCCCACCCTGAAATGACTTGTTAATCCGCGCAGACACCACCGAAGGGACTCACCGGAGTGGAATCCAAGTGGAATTTGGATTTGGAGAAGAGTTTCTTGAACATTTACTCCTTCCTTGTTGGTTTTTTTTTTTTTTTCTTTCTTTTTTCCTCTCCCCTTCTGTGCCTGTCACTGGAGATGATCACGGCGCGTTTGCTTCCCAGAAAGTAGTCGCCGCGACTGTTACCCCCAAAGAGACAAGCACACATGTAGGAATGACAAAGGCTTGCAAAGGAGAGAGCGCAGCTTGCGGCCCGGAGAGATCTCCTCGATAATGGATTACTAAATGGGATACACGCTGTACCAGCCCGCTCCGAGCCCCGGCCGCCTGCACGTCGATGCACCGAAAAGGTACGGCAGGGGCGCCCCGGCGCGCCCCACCTCCCCGGCGGCTCGGCTTCAGGCATCGGGTCCCGGGGCCGCGGCCGGCACTCGCTGCCCGCTTTGTGGTAGCTGCGTTTTATTTAGTCTGGTGTCTGCCTTCCGAGCGCTGTCCGGCCCTTGGGGAGCAGTGGTGAGCCCAGCCCGCCGCTCCTCTCCGCCCTGTGCCCGAGAGACCGCGGGGCTCCGCGTTGCGAGCTTCCCCACCCGCGCTGCGCACACGCCCGGCGCCGCCCGGGACCGCGACCGCGCGGTGCTGCTTGGCTGGGGAATGTGTGTGCAGGACCCGGGGCTCGTCCTCACTTTCGGGCCAGCAGGGAGCAGAGAGGCCCCGAGAGGGTGGGATCCTCAGAAGCGCCGGGTCCTGGTGCACGAGCTGGGGAAAGGGTTCTGCCCTCGAGGGCTGGAGGACGTTGGGTAGAAGAGCGCTGTTTTCGCCCAGCACCAGGTTTGGGTTCTGTGGTGTGAGAAGGGGTTCCACAGAGACGGTGGGAAAGCGAAGAGAATCTTTTGTTGTCCGCTCGGGGTCTGGGCTGGGCTCTGTGGAGTGCGGGAAACTTGTAATGGCCCTGGTACCCGTGCGCCTTGCCACTTGGTGACATCCCGGCTTTCGCGGCCACTGGCACCAGGGGTTCCGGGCTTTGTTTGCTCGAACGAGTGCCCAGGAATGGTCTCCTCCCGTTGTGGCGCGGCGCCCCCCGCCCTGGGTCCACTATCCCCCGCTGCAGCTCCCTTCTGGCCGGCGAGGACAGCATCTGTCGCGGCTGCGTCCCCCTCCAGCACAGAGCCCGCCTCGCTGCGCTCTCCCCCGAAATCTACGAGGTCCCTCTAAAAGGAGTTGTCCCGGAGGGGTAAGGGTGGAAAGACTTGCAAAAGATGACCCAGTGCTTGCTACCCGGACGAGAGCTCTGTTCGGGCCACGGGGTCTGGATGTCTGAACCACTCGCTGGGTCCTAGAGAGCTGTCTGGAGGGCAGTGGGGCGCTGGGGAGCTAGCCCGACAGTGCCCACCCTCCCTGTACGACAACGCTGGGGTGGCAAGTGTCTTTGCTCCAGATTCTCTGCTTTTTTTCTCAGCTCCCCACTGTCGTATATGCTGCAAAGCAGGATCCTGAGGTCCGCTCCCTCCTTCCGCGACCCGAGCCGTACAGGGGGAGCCAGGGAGCAGCCCCGAACTTGCGCGTTTCGGGAAAGGAAACAGGATTCCGCCGTCTTTCCCGTTCCCTCGCCACCTCGCCACCCCTCCGCCCAGAGCCGCCTCTTCCAGCACGGGGTCACTCTACCCGGCGCTTCTGGAAAGTTTCTCTGAAAGCCAGGGGCGGCGGGCACGACAGTACTGGGGCTCTGCCTGTGCAGCCCACGGGAAACCGAACCCGGAGGGAAGAGGGTGGGCCGCCCAGGATGCGTGGAGTTAGGTCTGGTCCACAGCCAGTGGCTCCCCCATCCAGCAGTCAGCTGGGTTGGGGTCTCAGCGCCGCATTTGCTGGTCCAGTCGAGAAAGCAGTGGCGAGGTGGTGGGAAGGGAAGTTCAGGGGCAGGATTCGGGATGCTGGTGCGGCAACTGGACAGCGGCTGGCGCACGGGTGCGGGTGGACACAGGCCGGGACTAGGTACCAATTCCAAGTGCAACATCCCCAGCCTCCCACCCCCACCCCCAAAAATGCCACGCGCATTTTTCCAGGCGGCGGGTTTCCAGGGAGGAACGGAACAGGGAGCCAGGTGTTCCTGGAGCGGGGGAGGAACTGCTGTCTTCACAGCCAAGGAAAGAACTTCCAGCAGCGGCCTCCATCCTGCATCCAGCGGGCAGCCCCAGTGGCCGTTGGAGTCGGTCCTTGGGAGCAAGGTGGCTGCTTTGAAAATGCGGTGGCCAGCCATGGGATCACTCTCTGCTTACACCGCATGGAAATCTAGTTGCTACTTATTGACTGTGATCCATGAAAGGTTTAAAACACAGGCAAAGGCGCGCGCGAACGCGCGCGCGCACACACACACACACACACACACAAACACTCAGACGCTTACGCTTGTATGCACAACTTTCTCTGACTCAAATCTGAAAAGATGTTTAACCCAGTTGCAGCGTTTTGCCAGCTGGTCTCAAGAAAGCTATGTAATGCCCCCCAGCGCTGGTTTTTAAGTCTTTCCGGGGTAGGAAGGTCGAGTGTCTTTGCCTTGTCTTTCTCTAATCCTGGTAATTGTTGGTCTTCCTTCAGACATACATCTCAGGCGTCAAATCCACTCTGATGGCAGGGGAAAGACTGCTGGTTCCAGACACATGCATCCTTTATTTAGGCTTTTTCACGCAAAGTAAAGAAGCCTGGGCTCAATTCTCAATGAAAATATCGTATTTTTGCACCTTATCCAAATGGCTACGACAGGTCAAGACTGCAAGCATTTCGTGTGTGTTTTTTTAATACCCTGTTTAGTCTGCATGGAGTTTTATGATTTATAGTAAGCTCTGATTAAACTACTCCAGGCCCCAAAGTTAATTATTAACCTAACCTTAAATACTGTGGCAGAACGGTGTCTCCACCTATTAACTTAAACTGTTAAAAGGTAATTGCACTATTTGAATTTGGTTTACCCATGCTTGCTTATATGGTGACTTTTTTAGTTGACTCTTGAGTAACCCCCACTCTGTACTAGGATTCTGGTTTTACGATATTCTTGAATGAGGCACTTTGCAAACCAATCTGAAAGCAGAGAAAAATGGAGTATCAGGTTTAAAACCTCATTTCTGTGTTAGGTCTTTTTTCAGCTTGATAGAAAGCAAGCGCTCTAGCTCCTGTGTGTGTGGTTTTTGTGTGGTGACAGTCTTCCTGAAGTGCTGTGTGTTGCAAGCCATCCCCCTGTAGAGATGGGCCACAGTCTTCAAGAATGCATATGAAGCACATATGCAAATTCCAGCAGCCACCCAAGAATCATTGTCTCAGGAGCCATCTGCAGAATATACTTATTGGATAAAACATCTACATTTCAATAGGTTAAAAATTCCCAAGAACTGGAGTAGAAACCCAAGTAAATGTTGAATAGATGCATGAAAGAAACGGGCCCACAGAATTCCCATTTCTCCACTAAGAGTGGACCGGTTGTCTCCCCCTCTACAGTGGCTTCGAGTGAGTGGTTCTTATCAAGTGGCAATGAGTGCAACTCTGTATTTACACACACAGTGACACACATACACAAACACACAGCCCTCGAGTTCTTTCCAAGTCTAGTGAATGCTTTTTCCCATCATTAAAAAAATATAGCATTTGCATCTTGAGTAGGCGGATAACATTTCTTAGTATGTTGAATCAGAAGGATAGCAAGAATTACAAGACTGTTATCTTCATTGAATAAAAATAAGCCACCCAAATTAAGAACTTGTATTAAATTCAAAATAAATACTCATGCTTTAAAAGCAAATGGGTAATTGCACTGCCATAGGAAATAGAAGGCAAAATACTGTTTTGAACAAGGAGGTGAGGCAGATATTTTACTGTGTGTGCATAGCGGTTCAGCTCTTTTCTGAACAGGACAAAAGCGTGATCACGGGAGAAGTTTTTTAGAACTAGATTGCCAAAGGCGAATATATTCTCCCATCTTATTTGTTTGCAGAAAAGAATCACAGAACAAGCCAAACTAATTGCAAATGCTTTAATTAAGCATCTGCCGTTTGCAGCAGTATAAAGCCTGAGAGAGATTGCCTGCCTCTCCCTCTGCCTCCCCCCGCCCCAGGTTTAGACAATTTATTGTCCTCCTCTCAGAGTGGGTGTTCCCTGGGTGTTCCCACTTCCAGAGGAAGGTGGAGCCTGGCACTGGCAATGTCCTGCCTGCTCACCCTCCCCTATCAGTGTCCCCTACTCTTCTGAGGTTCCCTGGAGCCAAGCTGTCTCAGAGATGTTTCTATTCCAGAGTGAAGGCTTTTCTCATCAACTGAGCTATTTTCTGCTGGCAACCACACTGGTGGCCTCCTGGGGATATGGTAAGGTAGGGGAGGGAGGGAGGCATTTAATCCCTCTGAAATGGGCAAGGAAGATGTCATACCGCATAAACCTCAAGGGGAGAGGGCTTACAGGATACCTCTCAGCATGGGACCATTACAGTAGCGCATATACACAAGGGTATCCTGCTCTGTGAAGCAGGTGAGTTCCTGCAAAACTTTTTGATTAGAGTAATTCCCATTATACTAATGGAGAGTGTCCTAGAAGTGTCAGGACTCAATACAGAGTTTCCCAAGTAACCTCTTCAGCCCAGACCTCTCTCCTGGGTCTCTCAACGAATACATCCAACAGGTTAGGTAGCTCTTCTTGGATCTAACAGGCGTGTCAAACTTAACACATTCAGAGCACCAATTCTGGACCTCTTTCCCCCAGTATGCTTTCTTATAATCTTCTCCATCTTGGTAAATGGTATTGCCATCCCTGGAGCTGCTCCCAGGTAGAAACTTAGAGGAGTCATCCTTGACTTTACTGCAGCTCCCCCCCGACCCCAACCCCAGCGGCAGATGCTGCTGCCCACCCCAACCCCCTTCTAGAGCACGTCGGCCTTCTCCAAACTCTTCCACCTCTGAGGCCCTCACGCTGGCTGAGCCACGAGGCTATTGTACCAGCCTCCCAACTAGTCCCACGGCTTTGCTCTTGGACCCCTACAGTCTATGCTCAACACAGCAGCCAAACTGATTTTTTTTTTTTTTTTAAATCAAGGCCTGGCTCAGATTCTTTCATCTTCGCCCAGCAGATGCCAAAGTCCAACCTATGGGCCTTCGCAGCCCTACGCCATGTGTGCTCCCTTGCCCACGCCTCTCAAATCTCCCCCGTCTTCAGGGTTACGTGACTGTGCCTGGCATGTGCTCTTCCATGGCCTGGGATGATTCCTTCCCCAGATAGCTGTGTGCTTTGCTCCTCACACAACTGAGGTCTCTGTGCAAATGTCACTCTCGCCATGAAGCCTTTTCTGATCACCTTATTTACTCCACCCTTTTCCCCA